GACTTGGCTGCCGTACGGGCGCTCCCGGGTGAAATACGTGACGGCATCGAGAGCCTTCTTGATGAGAAAGGCGTCGCTGCGGGCAACATCACGCATGCACTGCTTGAGCAGCTTCTGAAGAATGCGGTGGCATCCGTTGTGGACACAAGGCCTGTCATCGTGTCAGCTCGTTCTCCTGCTCAAGACGAGTCGGTACCTGTTCGTCCGGTTCACTACTGGGGAGGTCGGTGGCACCTGCTCGCTGAAGACTACGAATTGCCTTCCGTCGACGTTTCCACGGGGTGGCATTTATGGTGGTGTGGATCTCCCGCTAGGGACATTCCACCTTTGTACAAAATCAGGTCGATGGACTTGACGAGGAAGCAAGCCAAGATCCTGTGCGAGTGGCACTTCGCAACGAATGCGCTCCACAATGTGTACTGCAGCGCATTTGGCAGTAGTATGTGTCGACCCTACACATCAGCTACGGTCATTGCGGCATTCAGCAATATCATGGTATACTTGCCACCATCGTGGGGTCAGACGCATCTTGGACGACAGCGTCGTTTGTCCCAAATGAAAATGGTTACATTTGCACGCCTAGCTCGAAAGCGTAGACAAGAGACTGAGGGAATACCTACTACGTAACACTACTAAAAAGTTGTATTATACAGGATAATACTGTATTCGAGACGTGGTATGAAACATTGCAGTCAATTTGGCGAATTTAAGCCAATCAAGATAAAGTCGGATGTCCTGTCCGACTTTATTCGATCACAACACAATTAATCTCGTGGGGATGGTATAGTTTACTATCGTCCTACCAGTATACTACGTCTGTCTCACCTCCTTTGTCGTGATTCAAAATATCAAAATCCCAGTTCGAGTGTCGTGATTTCATTCTATTGGACAAGAGAAGCCGTAAAGACACATATTTGGACAAAATTATATTTGCTCAAGGCTACCAAGCTAACCTAAGCGCACAGAAAGGTATGCATCTGCGCTCCACTTGATGGACTGCTCTAACTCTCCTCGTCTACGTTTTGCTTCCTTTCCTATATGCTTAACCTTAAACCTGTTGCTGCCTCCACTCTCTAGTATGCATTCCAGCACTGTTTGAAGTGTGAAAAACACATTATCAAGTGAAATTGCAGGAACGTCGACAAATGCAGTATGCACATTTCCAATCAGCTCACCAATGTTGTAGGCCGGCATCTTCTGCTGCAACGACTGGATTGAGTTGAAAAAGCCCAGATCTAATATGTTTAGATCTGGGCTGTTCGCTGGCTGGGCCCCAAACACAATTCTGCGCTCGCCGCTTTGACTCGCCGCCACGACTTCAGCATGAAAGGTAACTGCGTGGGGTGTGGCATTGTCGTGCTGAACCACAATGGTCTTGGTTTCTTGTGGAAACCGCGCCAAGATACTTGGAAGAACATTGTCGACTAACATTCTCTTGTACGTAGCCTTCGTGACAGTCACCGACTTCAACACTTCCATCTCCGCAGGTCGGTTGCGGCTTGATCGTCGCGCAGCCACGGTCTCGACAAACGGCCACATGCCAAGTTTGCCATCAAAGAACACGCCGTCAACAGTTCACGGCCGGGCAACGACGGACAGGAACATTACACTGGGTATGAATCGCTTGTTCTTCGTCGTTTGATGCGGCACGGTTTCCCACGGCGCAAGGTAAAACTTGTTCTTGACTTTGCGCAAATAGAACCACTTCTCGTCCAGAAACACCCGATCCAACATTGGGTTTAACTCAACGGACCCGTCCACGACGTTGGCGAACGACAGTACTGCAGACGCTTCTTGACGTTGTCCTCCGACAGCATGGGTTTCAGGGACGACGAGCTCACCGTTCTTGAAGTGTCGGTGCAGTGTCGTCTTTGGCATCGACAGCGCCTCGGCCATTGTGCGGATGTCCATCTTCTGCAGGAGCGGGAGCTTGGAAACGCGGTCTTGCACCACTGCAATTCTTCATCCTGATGACTATCGCTCACGTCCACGAGAGGCAGTATATCCGCTTCATTACGTTTTCCTTCACACTTATTCTGGTTGTACGAAGTACGAGTCTACCGAATTTACCGTACATCTGTAACCCCCAAAATGTTTCCGAAATAGTTACAACTCAATGGTGAAGCTGAAATATATATCACTATTGTTTCCGCGCATTTGAATAAATATGATTGGACAAAATGTTTCGCGCGGTTTCATATTTATTCAAAGTGCACGACATACACGTCACAGGCCAAATGACTGCAGAACCACAACGTAGCCGCTCCAAGACAGGGAAGCGCAAGGTCATATCCTTATGCTTCAAAGTCAAAGTCATTCAAGCTTACGAGGCTGCACTTGGCCCTGCCAAGACATTCTATGCAATAGGCCTCGTGGAGTGAAATTACTCCAGAGATGATTCAAAACCCTTTTCGAGCTTGTGATATGCAATAATACATGTAATTCAACATCAAAGTACATCATTGATTGAATGGATTGATTTTGCATTATCTAAGATCTATTGTACTCCTCAATGTGGTCCATCAGTACAGCTCTTACAAGTCCAAGGCACCTATTCAATCGATAGCGTTTCGAAGCACTGTTATCGACTCTGTAGTCTTCTACAACAATTGCAAATTTGATCGCATACTTGGCTTTCGTGTTGACCAAACGACGGGGAAGAAAGCCGACATGGCAGAGTTGCTCCGCACCAATAATCTTGTAAACCTTGGGGGTTTCGTCAAGCCCATCAGCATTCAATCGCATGACCTCGCATCGAAACACAACCACATCGTTGACGGCCAGACTGTCACCGCAAACCTCGTGTGCAGGGCAGCTTCGAGTCCCTTCGCCGCTCGAGCAGCCAACAATGTCGACGGCCTTCAATTCCATCCCGAAGCAAATTGAAATTTGATTTTAACATGGTTTTACTGGTTAAGTAATATCCAATCATGGCTGGGTAGTTACAAGTCAATGGTAAAGCTCAAGTTTGCTTAATCAGATCTGACTATTTTTTATCTTGAACAAAGTATTGGAAATTTTCATGGTTACAACTTAATGGTCAAAAATTGGGGTTACAGATGTACGGTAAATTCGGTAGTCCTTTACTGTTAATTAATAATTGATTCTGCGGAATAATAAGCGCTGTTGGTTTAGTGTCAAGGGAGTTAGTTGCATTAGCAAGCGCCATTGGTTTAATGGTAATTGGGGTGCACCTCGAACTGGGCCGTGACGGGGGTTGGTGTCTACCCTTGGTACTTAATGTGGTTGCAAGTGATCCACAGTGCTCGTAACATGACCAGTACGAGGAGTGCCCATAATTTAGTAACCACGACGCTGTGTGGGCCCCAGACTGATGCGATGGGTAGGTCTTCGAGATTTCAGATGAGATCCCATTGAAAAAGCATCGCAAAAGCAGTCCACGCTGATGTGTGGAGGTCCCATAATGGACGCACATTTGGACAGTCCAAGAAAGCATGAAATAAGTTCTCCACCGCTGAACACCCGGGGTCACACATTCCACAATATGCGGGGTGGAGTGTTGGAGAAAAAAGTAGCGATAGCTGACAGGATATCATCTGATATAGGATACGCATCCAGCCATCAGCAACCAGGGGAGGGAGGGATCCAGGGTCAGCTTAACCTGGGTCTTAATGTAGGACCGAATTTTGGCTTCAGTAGTCCTGGTGGCAGTAACCATAGGGTGAGGTTTGGTCGGCTGGCCAGCGTGGAAGCAGATGGCCTTAGTGTATTTTCGTGGTCAGTGGGCGAAGCTCATGGGTATTCCGAGTGCCCTAGCACCAACTTCACTATCACTAGGCCCCGTGATGGACACTGGCATATCAAGGGCAAGGCCCATGACTTCCCATGCCCGCTGGACAATCGTTGATAGTTGGACGTACGTGACGAAATGTCACTGGTCGTTCCTCCAATTCATCAAATGTCTCAGAAAAGTCGAGCATTCGGCGTTGAAATTGATCCAATGTTGCCAACGGCGTGAGGGGGTTAAAGAGTCCCCGAGGCAATGTAGGCCACATGATGCTAGGTGGCGTGATCACGAACGATGTTTCCTGAGTGCAATAGCCAAGCAAGTTATCTCAGTTTTGCTACCTTTAACGAGGAATAGAGGGAGTCTCTGGAACCAGAACGACATAGTCAAGAGCTGGGACGGAGCTGGTGGTTGGATGCAGATGCATTATACGGGCAAGCGAGCCCACCAAACTCACACATCACGCCAAAAAGGGGGGGGTCCAGGCGTAGAAGGGATGTCTTCCAGTTGGGTTCATACAGCAGGGCATCCCATTTATCCTGTAGGTTGAAAGGTTCCAAGCATTGGTGCCACTGATACCTGGGCAACGCTGTCCACAGCTCAGAGTCCAGGTCGCTCTGTACGAGGAGCTGTAGTCGAAGCACACGTTGGTATTGTACCATAGAAGGGATGTGTGGAACACGCAATCCCAAGGTGCGGTGGTAGGCCCACCCGCTTTGAAGGAGCTGGATGAAATGCTCACCATGTCTCAATTTACGGCCAAGTATGAACTTGAGCACCATGGACTGCCACTTGCCAAGTGTAGTTTGGGTGACCGGTATCACCGCAGTGTAATGCCATAACTGTGATAGGATTATCGTATCCACCAGGAGCCTACGGCCCTGGAGCGTACGAGCACGACAACCCCATTTCAGGAATGATGTGAGGAGTTTATTCTCCATTTGGTGGACTTGGGTTTGGTTGCTCAGATGATGACCACAGTAGCGAATGGGCATCTTAGACGGGACCACATTGAGCCGAGTGTTATGGGGTACTCTTCGAGTTCAGGAGCAAGCCTTTATAGTTGCTTCTGTTGAGATGAACGCTAGAGACAGCGTATAAATCATCGACCAACTCGAGCTGGCGTTCCAGGTCGTCCAGAGATGTGGAGATGGCAGTAGTATCATCGGCGAACAGGAGGATCATCGCTGCTCTATCTGTCGCGTTCGAGTAGAAGATCCATACCGCTCATGGTCTCACAGCAGTTGGCTGAACGGATCGACCGTCAGAATGAACAGTATTCATCGGGGGTCACCCTGCTTGACCCCCTCGAAGGATAGATAGAGGATACGATTGGTGTTCGGTAGAGGAGCTGGATACACTGGATGAACCGGGGTCCACAGTTGAAAGCCTCTAATGTGTCGAACATGAAATCCCAATTCACTCGATCGTAGGCCTTCCCAAAGTCGAGAAACATGGCATACGCCTCATTTCCCTCTACGGTGCATTGATGCTGGAGGTCCTTTAAGAAGATGGGATTGTCATGTATCCTCCGCCCAGCCACAAAGCCAGTCTGAACCGGGTGCATGAGCAGGGGTATATTCGTGCGGAGTCTGTGAGTCAGAGCCCGAGAGAGCGCCTTAACCTCTACAGGTATGAGGGAGATGGGCCGGCAATGGCCGGGGTTGCTATGTTCCCCGCCCTTGAAATGCAGTGCGGCAGATGATAGTTTTTGGGACCCTAACAGCACCCCTTGCTCGAACTGGTATGCAAAAACGATCGAGAGAATGTGGCCAAAGGTATCACAGTCTGGAAAAAGGCCTACGGGAAGCCATCCATGCCTGGCGCCTTGTTGGGGGCCATTTTTTTGGTTGCTGAGGCCAACTCGAGTGACGTAGTGGGCTCTTCTAGCTCAGAGCATTGTTCCTCCATCAGACATGTCTTCAGACACCGCAAAAACTGCCTTCTTGCGGCGCGATTGGGGGGTGCGAAGTCTCCCTCGCACATGATGGAGGATCATCGCCTATGGAAAGCCTGGTGGATGTCCTGTGGATGAGAGGTAACACGACCGTCGCATGTGGTGACAGTGGCGATGGAGGCCTTGTAGAGAGTCTCATGTGGTCGTCAGAAGAAGTGCGATGTCGATACCTCAGAGTTGGATGTGTAGAAGTCGAAACTGATTTCGTTTTGATGCTGCTCCACTCCAGCTTAATAGACTCCAGTTTGGTGCGTTCGACGACCAGTTGGTCTGCTGTCAATTCACCATGAACAGCATGCGCCATAGCTGTGACCAAATCCTGCTCCGCCTGTTGGACTGCTTGGAGGCGATATGATGGGCGTGGTAGTGCTCGACGAAGTCTTTGGTGCGCTTCTTCCAGCCTGCCCATACGACTCCGGGGTTGTGAGCATGTAGCAGGATAGGTATGAGAGCCCTGGCCTCGGATATGATCACCGAAGTCATCTCGGGAATCTCCAGCATCCCCTTGGGGAGTTGTGAGTAGCGTTTACGCGAAATAAGCAGAATCACAGCATTCGCCTCACGCTCTTTACGCTTCGTCGTTCGTTTGGTTGTAGGTATTCCTCCACCTCCATGAAGGCAGGGTCCTCAAGGGGATTGGGATGCTTCCCGTCTGGTATATGGCGGTTGGTTCGGTAGGGGGGATTGGATTCCATACCCATGTCCACATCTGTGGTCTCCCCAGCATCAGCGGCTGTACTTCAGCTATGCGAAGCAGCTTCACATCATCAACTGGCGCGAGCAGCACTCAATGGACTCTGCCTTTGACACGTTATTCTGTGGTGACAAGGCGTCGCTCGGAAATCAGCGCTAAAGCGCATCCTACGGTGGGAAGCTAGCAGCATGCACTTCACCAAGATGGCGAATAACCCTTCCACCGCCTCTCACAAGAACGTACGACCTCCCGGAACTGCAACGACGTTATCAAGAGAGCAAGAAGAGCAAATCGCTCAATGGATGCAAGAAGTCTGTTCACAAGGAATTCCTGTAAGTAGATTTCTCTTACAATGCAAAGCTCTTGAAGTTGCTAAAGACATTGGCCTGGACATCACTCAATTCAAAGCCAGCTATCATTGGACTACGGGGTTTATCAAACGATGGAAGCTGGCTATGCAAGCAAAGACAAGATCTGGCCAATCGAACCTCGAGCAAGGCGAAGTCGCGTTGTCGGAGTTCAGCCTACGTATTCGCCAGCTCATCCAATACAAGAACATTACCGATATCTACAATGCTGATCAAACCGGAATCAACTTTGGGTACATACCAAAGCAAACCATCGACAGGCTTGGCGCCAAGACCGTCTGGATAGGTTGCTCTGGTCATGAGGAAGATCTCATGACTGCCATGATTCTTGGTGACGTCAAAGGAGCCAAGTACCCGCTGTTTTTGGTCCTACAGTCGAAGACATCAAAAATCAAGGCCAAGGTTGAAAATCTTACCAAGCGAAACGGCTTTGGACCTGTTGTGTGGCTCGAAATCGAAGAGCTCCATGAACACCACCCGTCGCGATTGTACGGCAACCCGACAGCATGGTGGAACAGTGAGATTTCCAAGCACTTCCTTGACAACCATTTTGGCTACCGGAAAGGCTAGGACATGGACGAGATCCTACTGTTGTGAGGCGATTTTAGCGCACACTTCAGTGAAGACGTCATCGAATGCGCGAAGTCCATGAACGTGGTACTGGAGAAGATTCCACCTACTTTCACTTGGATGTGCCAGCCAGCGGACGTTGCAAGGATGAAGCCGCTCACGGCGGCCATGCGCTTGCAATAGGTGACCTACATGCTTCATATTAGTCAAATTGTCAATTGTCATCACAAATAGGTCGCACCTGAATAGCTGAATTGTCGTCAAATCCTTCATGACGCCTTGCACACCCATAGACAGAGCAGAGACGAACGCCGATATTCGATGAGCTAGGCGGTCCCACGACTACTGCGCGCAGTTTTTTGACATTGCTCCCTATGGGGACCAACGTTGTTCGAGGTTCCACGGGTCTGGCCGTTGGCTGCTTGTGGCGGTTGGCCAGGAGAAGTGTTCACTTCATATCCGGATTTATTATCCGGATGTGGAAGAAGAGGTCCCATGCTACAGTTGTGATGTTCTCTTGACTAGATTTGTTTTGACTAACTGTCACGAGACAAGAATCGATACATGGTGGAATCACATGTTTTTGTTTTTGCATTCCATTGTCACTGGCATTAGTAAGACAATATTCTCTATGTATTCAATTTTCTTTGATTTTCGGAATGATCAAATAAAATAGGTATTCTGTATATCAACCAACTGCCTCGTCACTTTTATTCACACACGACAAATCATCTAAAGTGCACCCATCGCGGAGGCCGATGGTCGAAAAGATGGTGGATCGACCATGCCGTCGATGATAACGTCTTTGCGGGGAATCGGCCAGTTTGTTAAAGGCGTGGACGATACGCCACTTGCCACCGGGCTTCTTCGCACAGAAGATCGGGCGGAAATGCTCTGGCAGACGTGGACCGACGCTTTGCGGGCCGCAAAGAAGGCGTCGACTTGGTCGCGAGGCAGCGGCAATTGCCGGGTGACGAAATACTTAGCGCCGGACACGAGTTCGATCTCGTGTTAGCCGCCCCTGTCGACAGACAGTCGGCAGGGCACTTCGTCTGAGAAGATGTCGTCAAATTCTTTGATGAGGTCGTAGTAGGGGTTCGACCGCTGAGAGGCCCACGTCTGGGACTTCATAGGAGCGGCGAGTACCTAGTCATCCGCCATCGAGGTCGAAAAGAGATCCGCCTCTTCTTCGACTTGTGGAAGCTAATTTCCGGCAGGGTAAGAATCTCAGAGGATGTCCAAGGTAATTAGTTCAAATTGCATGTTTCTTCGATAAACGCGGCATCAAAGGTCGATGCAGCGAGCTGGGGCAAGGAGAGCGACTCTGTTGGGGGAACGGAAAGGGGTGCAACACGAGGGCTGAGTCCAGTAGGGCCGCGTGCGGTGGGGCCGGCGAGCGCACTGCGAGCATAGGAGTGGCGAGATCATTACTCATCACCGCAAATGTAGAACCAAGCGGATTGGTGGTGGACGGGGGAAGGCGATCGGCAGACCGCCGATGAATCCAGGGTTGGCTCAAGTGACCTTGTTCACGGATTTGGCATTCCAATCGATCCAAGGCTGATGGGCCTCCAGCCATGACATGCCGATGATGAGACCCCATCGAGATCGATAATGTAGAACCGTTTGACTGAGTCGAAACCGTCGAAAGTGATGGGGACTGGTTGGGAGGTCCGCTTGAAGGACGACTCGAATGGTTGTGCGAGGGAGCGCGTGAGGCGCCGCGGGCATGAGGCGCAAAGTCGCCAGGGCGACCACAATTAAAACACGTGCGGTCGTCCGACGCCTGGGCGATCATTGAGACATCCATATCCGATGGATCCGCGCGCGCATGCGCGTAGGAAGGGGATAACTACTTGGAAAGTGCGATGTGGACGGCTTCTTCGAAGGCCCGCAGGTAAGCGCGGAAGAGCTGGGTACGCGCGGGGCCTTGATTGCAGATAATTATATTCCAGCTAATCCTATGAAAACTCCTTTAGCAGATTGTAATAACATATAAATATAAAAATAATATAATTTTATATTCTTTATTTCTACATTTAATATATTATAAAAATTGTACCTATAATATTAAAAGCAAATTTTGGTAAAAAATAATAAGTTATAAAAAAATAAAAAATAAAAAAAAGGAGTAGTACCGTATATACTATCAGAAATAGTAAAAGAAGATTCTATATATTCAAAACCTTGTATAAATGTAAAAAAAATAGCTAAAGATATTGTTAATATTAAACTTAATATAGCGACCGTTCATGAATAGAGTCACACGCAAGGGCTCGGGAAGGGATTCTTCGTCGATAACATTCACTGCCAAGAAGCGAAGGCCATAGATGAATTCTTAGAGGGAACGTTTCCCTTGCTTGCACGCCAGATATTGCGAGGGATAGCGGAAATCGCTGTTGGGGGGCAAGAACATCGCCTTGATTTCGGCTTCGAAAGTTGCGAAGGACGGAAAGCACAGGGGGTTCGCAAAGCGTTTGGAGAACGCCCAATCTTCCGCGCGCCATTTCAGGTGCGACATCGCAAACGCCATGCGCGTGGCTTGGTCAGAGATGCTCTGAGCTTCAGCGACGGTTTTGACTTGCAAAAGACAGCGGAGGAGTTGTCGGACACCGCACCACCAAACTTGACGACTTCGAACTTGATCGGCTTCAGACAAGAAGCCGATAAGTGGTCTGACGATTTCAAGGCCTGCGCGAGGCGCGCATTCTCGTATTGGGCCAATCCGAGGGAATCCTGAAGGGTACAACCATGGTTCGAGATGGCGGAAGTCTGCTAAACTAAGGTCGCCATTGTCTCATGGGCGACGCGGAGGGAGTCTTCAAGGTTGCGCCCATGCGAAGTCATTTGGGCCCACTTGTTCTTCTAGCGTCGCGTGGGCAGCGGTGGATGCTGCCGTGGCCTCAGCGACGTAGAGTTCAACCGTGCTACCGATGCCTTCCACAAGGCTTGCTTGATATTCGGGGGACATCCCGCCGAGGAGTAGCGCAGTATCGCCGTCGCCAATGCCGCAACGCAGAAGATGCGCTGCCGTGTTGGTGGGGGGCATGGTGGTGGTCTACTGGACGAAACACGAAGTGCTACGAAGTATGAGCTTGCGCAGAGGAAAGCACAGTAGCTGGTAGAATTAAGAATGAATTGATAGCGTTAAGACTCCCATGCTATCACTAAACTACGCGCAGCCAACCGTTGTTTGGTTGGTGTAGAAAGTGTGTCATTCAGGCCGGCGAACGACATCAAGTATCTTCGAGGGAACACCTTGGACTGACGTGGTGTCGAGTGGTGATCCGGATAGCAACCGGATGATGGGCACGGTTACACCACAACTGTCCGCACGGCACATCAAAAGTGTGTCCGTTAAAACGAACTTGCCATCCGAGGAGAAAGAACAGTTGGCACGCTGGGTACTTGGAATGCGGAAGGACCGGATTCCGGTTACCTACAGCATGTTGCATATGATGGCCCTGGAAACAGCAATTGACGTGGTCCTAACCGATTCCGAGTTCAAAGCCAGGTGGCACCGCAGAAGCTCGCCAGGACAAGAAGGACATCCTGCTCTGTGATGACTTCAGCGCGCACTTCACCAATGACGTGGTTGCCTATGCAGATTCCATAAACGTCTTGTTGGGGCTTGTACCGCCGTGTATCACCTGATGCTGCCAGACTATCCAAAGCGCATGGATTTGTCCATTGGAAGAACTGGCTCATTGAAATTTGCCGCCAGGTGCCTACAACCAAGGCTGAAAATGTGAACCTCAAGCTCCATGGTCCGTCGCGGTCTACAGTGGTATCGTGGATCACCGGGACGTGGAACAACTTACCTCAGAGCATGTGTGATCTTGAACGGGTTTCTCAAATGCCAGCGCATTATGTACTTTCTAAGCATTTGTACTCTCATTTTGATACCAATTTATGATAACTCTTTTATCTTAAAGTATGCATGTGTCGGAGCATTGAAACTCTGAGTTTAGGGTAAGCGGTTACAACAGGTTTCATATCATTTATACAAGGTTATTGTTTTATAGAGATATATTTATGTTGTGGAAGGATGCCCCCGAGTTTAACACTCGACACAACCTCAGATCCAACCCAATGTGGCCCGTGTCGACTAGGGTACTTCAAACCCAATTTTGAATGACTATTACCAATGGCTTCTACGCCGTTTTTGCATTTCATTCATGTGATGGAATGGTCAGCATTATATGACAGAGGATTTGACTCGAACAAATAGCAAGGGTTGTGATTGGGCAATAACAAAGTTATCCTAAATTGGTTAACATACTGTAAACTATCTTAACAGTAAACTGTGTTTTTACGTTATATCCAAACCTAGAAACACTATCCGAAATGTGACCCATATGCATATTTGCCCCGCCACAGTCCAAACCTATAATAAATACTAATAGTAAGCGTTAGACGGTAGTGTAAAAATTGGACAGGAGGGTGCGTGACATCGCGAAAACCAGTTTGGCTTGGGCAAAACCCACAATACGTAACGGTATTACAGTAAGGAAATCAAATTCGACAGGTTGGCTTTCAAACCAAAATAGTATACTTTTGGCAGTAAACAAAATGTAAACAGGTGTTTACGTTTTGTAAACTGACACGGTTAATGCACTTTCGTGGTCAATATTGACTCTATTATAACGCAATTTCATTCCACAATCTAGGAGCGTAATCTCAACGTTGCGCTCTGATATACTCCATGTAGGAGTAGAGCCAAAGCGATGTGAAAGTCAAGGAGGTTTAGGTTGGGGGGTTTTTGGTTGAAGGTTGACGAAACCGACGAAACTTCAATGTTTGAGGTGTGATTTCACGTGAACCAACGCGAAGTTCATGAATCTGATTACATATTCATTGAAAACTTGGTGCGAGGACTATGGACAAAAAAATGGAAAGATTTGGACAAAACTTAGGTACAGTAGGTGTATTTTAGGTCAAATTATTGAATTTTCAGTTTACAAAATGTAAACTGGGATATTTACATTTCGATATCATTTTTTATTCATTTTAAATTCAGAATTGTCCAACTTTTAATTCAAAATTATATTCCGTTTTGCGAGTTTTGCCTAGACGAAACCGGTTTCGCGATTTCCCGCAGCCTCCAGTCGCATTTGGAACTTTTTTCTGTCAGAAAACAGTAAAATTCGATGTACTTTGTCAATTATATACTATTGCAGGGGACTGTCTGGATCGGGCAGGTTGAATACAAATCGTAATATAAATATAAAATAATATTCATTTCGATAAAGTAAAACTACTGGCTTATATACATAGAGGTGCTTGTGATTTACAGTTACTTTACATGCGCTGAACCTTGGAGAAAGGACACATGCCAGGCGACCAATAGAGAACGGTCTGAATAAATCCTATGCGTTAAACTCCATAACGTAATATCTTGATTCATTTTGTTCAAGGTTTTGTCCAATTAGAATTGTCTAATTTAACCCTAATCATTTTCGAGCGATATTTCTAATTTGGAGTATACATTTGAAGCCGATTTGTATCAAGATAACATTATCCGTAAACACACTTCGAATGAATGATTTACAGTTAGTATGCATGTCAGATTTGGTAGCCAAACACATAAAAGGTGACATTTGACAAATTACCATACATTTGAAAAATTGCCATAATATTTCTGAAAAGTAGTTCAAAAAACAAGGTGTTTTCTGACACTTTTTGTGGCAGCCAAAGTGGCCCTTCGAAATTCACGTTTAGCCGTGGCCAGCTTGCAACCACGCACACATCGCGTCTTCGTGGTCCCAGTACTCGGCCAAGAGGTCGTAAAACAAGGGTTCGTACGATGCCTCTCGGTGGTCCAGGATGGACCGCGGGGTGTTCCAGGGCTTGAATATGCCAAGTCCAGGCGAGAAGTGGTGCACGTAAGTGTTGAGGATGCGCTCGGCTTTGGACGTGAACGACCATGTGGCATCGTCCACGATCGTGTACGTGAGCACGACGTAGTGGTTGGGAAGGTACCCGCACGTCGTTCGGAACAGATCGTTAAGGACGTCCATGTCGTAGTAGTCGGGTCGCGGCGGCGTGGCCATGGCCCGTTCAATCGTTTCAAATGTTTGGTTCGAACTGGGGGAAAACACGAGCAACGTCGACCCAAACATGTAGGTCTCGGGAAGGTAGTAAGCGTGCGGCGCCCACAGCACGGCGTCCCCCAGATGGAACAAATGGTCTAAATTGCGCTGAATGACCGCGTCCGAGTCGAGGTAGATGACCTTGTCGTACCCGCGGGCTTCGAAGATGCGCAACTTGGTCAAGGAACTGACCCACTCGGCATTCGACGGCACACCTGCTTGCTTCCAGTGGGCCACGGGGATGGCGACGATGCCGGCATCGGTGAGGCGTTGAACGATCGCCGCGGGGACGTCGTCGACGACAAGGGTCACGATCGGTATGGACGGTGGG